AAGATCTTAAATATGTAATAGGTAATCTAAATGTATTATTTTTATAAAGAAGTGTATAAAGCAACCCAATCCATGAGCTATTCAATAGAAACCAATGATATTTATTCACAAATAAATGCATATTTTAGCTGACTTTTTAAAATATTTTCTCTTGTCAAAACATGTTCCCAAAAAATCTCTGAATAAAACCAATACTGAAGAGCTCTTATTTTCTTCAAGTGTCCCCTCCGAGTGGACGCTTTGTTCCGATGTGCGGTCACTGCCAGGAGCCATGTTTTGTATGGCCCACGGTGCGTATGCGTAACGAGTGCACAAGTGGCCATCGTTGGCTGCCCGTGGGCCATACAAAAGGAATCGTTTTGCTTGTCATTTCGCCGATTCAATTAACGCAACAACTCGAAACAAAGCAGGACACAAAAAGCCAAAGCTTTTCAAATCAGGAAGCCTAAGGTGCCTCCGTTCGCTTTTAATGGGCAATTACATTTTAATGAGAGTTACCCGCTGCCCGCACCTCCTGTCGATAAATGCAAATTTTTTGGTGGCCTCACCTTTAAAGTGAAGAGAAAAATTTGCCTTAAAGCCAAGAGGGTCAGGACACAGGGATACTTGTGTCAGTGCTGCTGTGTCCTGTGCCTTTGCCTTTGTATGCAGCGTCCAATTTTATTAATTTCGAGCTCGAGCCGAGCCAAGTCCGCCTCCATATCGAACGCTTGACACATCAAAGCCCCGACCTGACACAAGCACACGCCCTTTGCGTATTTTTTTTTTTTAAATATGCGTGTGCGATTAAAATAAAAAATAAAAAACGAGAGAGAATCAGTTACTGTACAAGCAGTAACGGCAACTGAATCAGAAACAAACATTAAAGGAGGGACCGGCCGGCGCTTTCAATTGGAAAAGCCGAGAAAAACGAGGCGGCAAGCAGAAATATAATGAGTTTTGCTCGCTGTTCACAAACAGTCGCTGGCACTGGCCATGGCCGCACTCTGACAAGCGCTGACACTTTTCCGCTTTTCCATTTTCCCCCCTATACAAGAGGGGGGAACGGAGGCGGTGTCTGTTTGCATAAGCGGGATAAATGTACATTTAAAAAAGTGCTGATGCTGGATTTTTAGAAATTTTATTATTCATTTAGGGATTAAGTCCAAGTAAGTAAGAAAGTATGTGAGAGAAAGTCTTACTTTTTACATGTATTTGTTTGGTATTTTCTTAGCATATTTCTTATTATATTCTTGAAGCTTAATTTTTAAATAAAAAATTTGTATATTTCTTTGAGTGCAGGAGACTGTTGAAGGTCCCCATAATGTTGATGGACACTCGCTTTGATTTGCTGCTGCTGTTGCTCGTGTGGCTTTTCTTTTGCCAGTTAAATCCGCACTAACGACTTGCCAGTTGATGTCATACGTGCGGTTTCATTCGAGGACAACGACACCGATACCGACATCGTTGGCATCACCTCCACTGCTTGCTGGTATCATACTCATCCACATCCACATCCACATCATCATCGTCATCGTCATTATTGCTGCCGACTGTTTGCAATGTCCTTTGACATAGTCCACACAGTCTCCCCAGGTCTCAGGTCCCATCCTCTTTAGGCAGCATCACATTTAAAATCAATTTCATGGCCCACGCCAGGACGACGGACGACTTACAGAGTCGCGCATAGAAAATCCCTGTTTTTGTGCCACAGCCGCAAATGCAAATATAAACATATGTGATGGCCACAAAAAAGAAATCCTTTTCAAGCTGTAAATATTTCCCTAACGTTGCAAAGTCAAACAAACGGGTGTTGTCATTTGCGAAAGCCAAAGGACACATTTTGTTAAAAAATATGTTTATCGGAGGGATATGGATTTGAATGGTTTTCATGGAAGTATTTTTAATAAGATTAATAGATTAATATTTGTAAAGATAAGTTTATAGAAAACATGCCTAGAGATTTTAATACCTTTTTACTTTTTTTTAGTTTAAAAACATCCTTTAATAACTGATTTTATAAGTTTAGCATTCTGCTTAAAGTTCATTATAATAAACATATCATTAATTTATAGATAAAACTATCAAAAATTAATGTTTTAATATTTTCTCCTTACTTATCTTTAAATCCGCATAAGAGCATTAAATCATCGACTTTTGGGAAAAACTTTTGTGAAATATTTTTCTTTATTTTCGTTTCATAAACCTTTCACTTCCAGTGAGTGAGTATTTATGTCTGAAAGGCCACAGAAAAGGTCGTTACTGATAAGTCGTCACAGGCACATCCTTCGTTCAGCCACTCAGTCAGTTGGCCAGCGGCCGCATCAAGTATACGCACCGTTGGCAGTCAGTGCAATGCACTCTCCGCTAAGGACTTCCGGTAAGACGGATTTGGGCATCATTCAGTTTCCTGTGAACTCCAATTAAGCAGCTGGCAAAATGTGAATTGCTTCAAGTTATTTGGCAAATCCTGAGGCACCTGTTCCTGCTGCTGCTCTGTGTGTTTTTACTTGCCACTCACAGAGAGTTTGCTCGTGTGCCAAGAGCAATAAAAGTTTGCCGCTCCAACCGACGATGGTGGCAGGCGGAATTATTCATTCGACATTTAAGTGTCTGCCGACACGTGCAATGTAAAAGTTTTACACACCTGCATACATTACACAATTCCAGGCATAAGCCATTAAAGGAAAGCGGAACTTAAAGATGCCGCGCGCCATCTGTGGGTGGGAAAAGGGAAACGACAAATTGGCCGCATTTCATCTGCATTTGGGCCAAGAAATATACATAGGGAATTTGCATATAGGCAAAAGCAATCGATTTGATTAAATTTTTAAATATTTTAACTATGTATTTATATATAACTTAAGACAGCATGCTTAGAAGATTCTTTTATGTACGTTTTAGGTTTAAAGTGAATGCAATAATTGCACTTTAAAGTGGGACAAGCTTCTACCAACGCTAAACTATTTCTTAATCCATTAAATAAAGTTCAGCCTTAAATATATACACCCCTTATTTCGCTTGACAAATCGTTGTCGATGTATGACAAATTGGCCGCCTTTCATCTGCATTGCTTACCTTTATGGCCAATGAATCTGCATATGGAATTCGCTGATGGCCAAAACCAATCGATTTTCATCTTCTTCGGTCTTCTCATCTTTCTTTTTTTTCGGCGTAACGAAAGTGATTTCCTGCCAGGCATTGCCGCCAAAAACTTCATCAAGCTGCCATCTCTTATCGCCGGTGGGTAGGTGCTATACCTCTCTCGTTCTTTCCCCTCTCCTCTCCCACTTTGTGGCTGCATGCTTGGAATATCTTCCGTTTCCGCAGTTTTGATGTCTTCCTCTTGTCGGGGGTGTGGGAGGAGCACAAGGAGCCCAAGGAGCAGTGCCGCCGTCAGTAAGTGCCAAATAATAACCGAGTGTTGGCAAAACAAATCGAAGTGCTTCAAATGCACAAAAAAAAGGAAAAATAACCGCAAATTCCGGGAGACCGCAACATACAGCATATTTGATGCAACACGAAAAACACTCAACTATGAATGCGATTTTCATGTAAATCCAATCGGCTTTGGCACGTGCATGACCCAACAAAAATAAAATAAAATAAAAAAAGAACTAGACAATAAGTTTCGCCTAACACCGGCTGTAAAAATAATCAATGTTTTTGGTAAGGGAAAAAACACATAAAAAAGCAGATTACGGTTAACAATTGTTGGCGTTTAGGGATAGTTTTTTAAACGAGTGATAAAGGTCACCTGTTTGAGAATTTTATGGGTCTTACTTATAGTTTTTTTTTAATTAAATATACTATATAATAATAATAGTTATACAAATTTAGAAATTGTGTAATAAGGTAAGGTAAATTAAGACATCAACTATTTACAAATTTAGCCTGAAAGTAACTTGCGCATTATACATAAGATATAAACACATTTTATTAAATAGTACAAATTTTAAAATAAGGAAAATTCTGTTTCATAATATAACAAATACTTGTGATATTTCTAGTACCAAAACAAAATCATTTAATAATCAATTTTGGTAATGGGGAAAAAAAAAACCATAAAAAACTAAGATTGCGGTTAACATGTGACCGGGCGTTTTATGGGCTTTTAAAAACGCGTGAAGAGGGTCACCTATGCAGTGCAGTTTTATGTGGCATACTTTCGGGCGAGCTCATAAAAAATTCAACTGCCAGTCGACCATATTTTAATGGGTCTTCCTTCGGCCATTGTTGATCTAACTGCAACACTCACAGTGCGGTTAGCAGAGGGGGGGGGGGGGCGGGTGTTGTATATAACCAAAGAATAGAGGAGGCGTGACACCAACAAAAGGACGAGAAAGCCAAACAATCGCTGTCTAAACGCATTGTGTGCGCTTTGTGTGGCCTGAAAAGGGGAAAAGGATCACCAGGAGACACACACAGAGCCATATCACATATCGCGGCCGTGTCAATGCAAATGTCTATGAATGCGAAAATTCACATTGATGCCGCTTTGTCGCATTGTCTGCCTGGGTGCCTCACCGACTTGCCGCCTTACTGCCTCGCTTGTGTGCGGAAATATTGTTTGTTGGCTTTGCCGGTTTGTTGGTCGGTCGGTTTGGTAAACGGCAAGGCGACAAACACAAGATGTTCGACGATTGTGATTGCGATTGCCAAACACTTCACTTCACTTGATGTGTGACGACGGGCTATGTCAGTCGATACGGTTTATTATTGCCAGACGAGCGAATGACTAACCAGATGTCACAAAAGGGGAGAGGGGATGGGATATATCCATGCTGCCGGGAATATCGAGTTCAACAACAATTGCCGCCGACAAACCGCAAGTGATTACTATTATGCCGTGAAGAGTTATCATACCCCAAAGCTCATAGATTAATTATTTTCTGAGTGACACAAAGATAAAACATTGATTAGATAGGGTTTATCATTTGGTTTTAGTTTTAGATTATTTATAACAAAAGGAATTCAGCTGCTTCTGAATCGTTTCGCAAACCAAATATACATATATAAAATAAAAGTCAAAGACACTCCACCTTTATTGACTCGCTGACCCAGCGGCATTAATTAATTGCAATGCTTTCGGTTTGATGGCCCTGGTCTGGTGTTTGCCAGAGTTCAAAGGTCTTGGTTACAGTTGTGTCAAGACGCTTGAAATAATTGGAAATTGCCAATATCAATATTTAATGTCGCAGATACAGGAAATGATTTTGAAAGGTCCTTACTCTTAAGTAAACAACTTTAAAAGTTCACTGATTTAGGTATAAAGAAATTCTTGGAATACGTTGGATGTCATTTCGATTCAAAATGTCATGAAAGATTGATCATATAACATATCTATAGAAAACTGGCTTTCCCTGAAGCATTTCGTTAGTTAATTAACACTAAGCAATTAACATCTAATACTTAACAATAACGTAAGGTCACTTAAGTGCATGCTATTCCTTCCTATTTACCTTTTTTGAGTTTCTGGACAACTAAACACATTCTGGACGGCCTTGGTTAGTTCCATGTTTAGGTTGCCCAGGCAACCCTGAAACAAGATGTCGCCTATTAGTTTCCGGGCCAAGATCTTTTGGTGTCCGTCCATTTCATTGTATTGGGCACTCCACGATAAAGTTATGGGGTCCTCCAGGGTACTGGAGTTATTTGATTTGTTGCTCAATGCGCTACTTAGGTCTGTTGGTGTCTGTAAATTCATGAATTTAAATATGTTTTAAAATATATCTTAGATTTTCCTCACTTCATTATCGAATCTGTTGAACTCAGAGAAGCCAGCAGATCCCTTTGAGTCTTCGACAGCCCGGAAATTCTTCTGCAAAACCCAATGAATAATTAATTATAAAAAAAATTATAGTTAAGTTATAGCTTTTCACACCTGACCAGTTTCTTCTTCCTCCATGAGATCATCGCTACTCTCTAGGTGATCGCTGAGGAATAACAAGAGATTGTAACACCATAGCTTTGGAACGTAGATCAACTTGGACTTCTCGGCATCCAAAACTTTTCTGTGTTCAAGTTGGAAAGCAGAACAAAAGTGGTTGATCCTGCGCTTGGCCATATCTTTGGAGGCCGCTCGGGGATAGACCTCCCTTAGCTTATCTACCAGAACCTTGTAGTCTCTGTTCTTCCGCTGCCTGTCTCGATACTCTGCGCTGTCCGTCTTCCACAGGGAGGGTAAGCCTTCATATGTTTTGAAAAACTCCTGCCAGAAGTTTAGATTCTCCTTTAGTCCATCCTCTTCCCTGTCACAGTCGCTGTCCACCAGCATCTCGTCGTAGAGCTCAATGTAGTTCCCGCAGTTGAGCTGCTTTTGCCAAGGGCTGTAGAAATCAGGGTCTTCGTTGTCTTCTTTCGTCTCCTGGAAAACATCCTGGCTTTCATTGGTGTGCTGCGATTCATCCAGGAAGCTGAACTGGTGGAAAAACCACAGGGTCGTGGAGCAGTGTTCTCCCGCCCGTCTGTGCATATCCACCATACGTTTCTCTCGCCTATAGTTCGTCCGGAGGCAATTTATTTTCTTGATCGCCGTTTGGCGGTCCGCCTTCGGGTACCGTTCGCGCAGTTTGGCCACCAGTCGGTCGTAACCCCTGCCCTTGAGCCACTTGTCGCCGTATTCCTTACTGCCACGGCGCCACAGAGCGGGCTGGGTTCTATATATGTCAATGAAATCGGTCCAGAAACGGCGATCTCGGTTCATAATTAACTTTTAATTAACATTCTATAATCAAAAAACAAACAACAGTGTGACCACCTGCCTTGCCGCCTACGAAATTGAAATTGACCGACAAATGCGAGAATTTTACTTCACATATAATTGGTCACACCGAACGGAACCCGAATAGCATACAAGAGTTACCAGACTGCTCTTGGAAATTTAAATTTCCAGGCGGTTTCCACATCTGTTGATATTTTTCGCGAGTGAGAATTTTTGTTCTGACACAATTCATTTTTGTATACAAGAATTGTAAAGATCCATGGAATACAAGTGAGTTGAAGAGTTGCCAGATCTGAATGAACACCCACTTAGCAGAGTTCACCACCAATAGGCAAATTTTTAATTTTGGTATTTTTAAGATTATTTTGATATATTTTAGTATATTTTCGGATTTATTTCTAGGACCGGCGCCGGTCACACTTTCTCTTTCTTTTCTGCACCACGTTTCCGAACGAGTTGTCAAAATGAACGCCAGCCTGCCAATTTCTAAGAAACGCAAGGTAATTTGATGAAAATATCGCTACTCAAAGTCCGGGATGCCGTGCCGCTACCGTCCGCCCTTCGTCGCTCCAGAGTTGTGTGAAAAAGTCGCCCGGAAAGTGTCCATTCGCTGGCGGTTCGGAGATAACCTCAAACGGATGGGCGTCCCAATGTCTTTGCAGCGTGGAGAGCGCTAAACAACAAGTTGGATCGGTGGTAATAATGGTTTCCCTTACGCTTGCAGTTCGTTTCCGATGGTATCTTCAAGGCCGAGTTGAACGAGTTCCTGACTCGCGAGCTCGCCGAGGATGGCTACTCCGGCGTGGAGGTGCGTGTGACCCCGTCCCGCACCGAGATCATCATCATGGCCACCAAGACCCAGCAAGTGCTGGGCGAGAAGGGTCGCCGCATCCGTGAGCTGACCGCCATGGTCCAGAAGCGTTTCAACTTCGAGACCGGCCGCATCGAGCTGTACGCCGAGAAGGTGGCGTCCCGTGGCCTGTGCGCCATCGCCCAGGCTGAGTCGCTGCGCTACAAGCTCACCGGAGGACTGGCCGTCCGTCGTGCCTGCTACGGTGTGCTGCGCTACATCATGGAGTCCGGTGCCAAGGGCTGCGAGGTCGTCGTCTCCGGCAAGCTGCGCGGTCAGCGTGCCAAGTCGATGAAGTTCGTCGATGGCCTGATGATCCACTCTGGTGATCCGTGCAACGACTACGTCGAGACTGCCACCCGTCACGTTCTGCTGCGCCAGGGCGTGCTCGGCATCAAGGTCAAGGTGATGTTGCCCTACGATCCCAAGAACAAGATCGGCCCCAAGAAGCCGCTGCCCGACAACGTGTCCGTTGTGGAGCCCAAGGAGGAGAAGATCTACGAGACACCCGAGACGGAGTACAAGATCCCGCCACCCAGCAAGCCCCTGGACGACCTCTCCGAGGCGAAAGTTTTGTAAACCTAGTTTTACTGTTCATCCAATGAGCGACTAGCAAGGAGTTGCCCTCTAAATACAACAAACAAAACAAACAGAAACAAAACCACAAAATAATTCAATAAACAAAATCAATAAGTAACCGAGAACGCGAGCCCGAGCTGTGTGTGCGGATCTCATTTGTGCAGTGCAGTGTAGAGCACCGAGGGTTGACTCCAAAGTTCCCCGGCTATGATCGAAACCTGTTTGCTGGTCAACATATGTACATACCTTTTTGTCGGGTATGTGTTTCTCTTCCTCGCACTTTTATTTCCATTCCATTTCTTGTGAAGCGGAAATCAGCGATTAAAACGGCTCACATTTTTGTCCATTTCTTTTTGTTGTTTTCTGCGAGAAGGAAGAAGGAGGCTGCTGCTGATTTATGAGACTGTCCTTCGGTTACACGACTGTCCGTCCGGTGCTGATAACCCGGCTCCGCTTATGGGCCTCTTATTTATCATGTTGATATGTTTATTTCCAAGCCTGGCACAGTGACACGGCCCCGGGCAATTGCAGCGTGAAAATCAACAATCGTTCAATTTATCAACATTTGCGAGATTATAACCGCGGGAGAAAAGAGAGTTTCACCTGGGCAAGAGAAGTGGTAGAAGGACTGACTGGGGGCCCTGGCGTCGTGCCCGTTTGAAACGGACTGAAATCGCAGCTGCAGCACACGATCCTCTCGACCGATGACAAATGGCCACATGCAACACTCACCAAGGAGGAGTGGAGGTGGCCAAGATGTGCTGTGGCGGTGGAGGTGGCGGTGAAGGAGGAGCGTTCAGGCTTGTCTTGGCGGCATCACGCATCAAGTTGCGATTTGCGCCATAAATCTAAATTAGCCTGGCTCTCGGAGAGCAAGCGGTTCCTGGTTTGCGCGCCGCCGCTATTACTACCTAGGCTCGCGCTCCTCCACTTGGTCCACTTGCCCAATCAATTAGAGGTGCACATAAAAGCAGACGAAACAAATTTCAGGCCATCTGCGACTGTGAGAAATTTTTTCCTGATCGCAATTGTTCTTGCTATTGTTATTGCCGTTTGCTGCGGTGCTTTTCAACGCTGGCATAAATCATAAAGAACCTTTTAAACACGACTTTGAACGTATGATTTCAACACAATTTGTAAATAAATTAGATCGTGATTATGGCAAACATCAATATCGCCAGGCCACATCGACAGACATCTCCTCGTAGCAGCAACATTATTAACCTAACCGGCCAATGTCTGGCATGTGTGGCTGCCATAGTTCTCCTCCTGCTGCCGTCCCAACTATATATATTATAATGGCCAAAACACAACAAACCGACAACAGCAATAACAACGAGGCGAAAACAAAACAAAAAACTCGACAATTGCCGTCAACAAGTCTGCAACATCGCCGCACTCAGCAGCAGCGTTGCAATGTGTTGCTGGTGGTGGTGTTGTTGCTAGTCAATGTTGCATGTGCGAGAGTGCAACATGCATATTGTGTCCGTCTGTCGCGGCTGCGCAGGTTCATAACTTGCCTGTCAGCTGCCAGACTGAGGTTCTGACATGGCCAGGAAACCCCGTCACAGCTAGGACACCATAGCCATACACTCTTGAAGTTGCAAGTTATTAGATTAATACAAGAAATGGATCCTAAGAGCAAAGGTATATATAGCCCGTTCTATCTAAATTTGTATTGTATTATATCCCAAACTTGACAAAACAAGTAACAAACTCAAAAGACCCCAATGTTGCTAGAAGTGTACAATAACAATGCATCGTAACTGTAATAGTTGCAACTATTTTTGTAAGGTTGCTTCGAGTCTGACTATATTTGCTTTGATTTACCAACATTATTATGAGGTTTTGTGTCATGATTTTGCCATCATTATTTAGCATTAAGAAACGATGGCGCGTAATGTGTTTTTCATGTGAACTGCCAGGCCAGACGACATTTATCATCATCATCGCTGCATAGCTGCATCGCAGCATCGCAGCATCGTCCCCCATCGGATCCAAGCTCCAGGTCGGAATCGGAATTGCCGCTGCAGCTGGAGCCGGAGCAACCGATCACTGGTAATAGCCACGTTTGTCGGCCTCCTGCACGATCGTCTGGAGTGCGGCGAAGGCTTCACCGGCCGTGGGCTCAATCTCGCCGGCGGACAAGATGAACAGATCCTCGCTGTCCGCCGGTCCGCGTAGCTCGTACGAGTAGGTGATGGGTATCTTTAGGTGTCCATGGGCCCAATCTTTGGAGCCGCCACTCGATGGATAGATGGTCTCGTATATGCTGCCACTCTTGTAGATTCGTCCACTGACATCCTTGATCCTTTGGGCAGCCAGCTGACCAATCTCCTTCAGGTCCTGATAGTTCTCCACACGTTCAGCACTGTGTCCGTAGGGGAACATGATCATCTGGGAGTAGCTGTGAAGCGATATAAAGGTGCGAATCCTCTCGGAATGGACATTTTGCTCCAGGAATTGCACTATCCTCTGCGTCTCCACCTCACTGCCCGCCGAAGGTCCTGAGTAATCATAGCGGCAGGGATCACCACTCGCTCCGGTCACATTCCAGTGGAAGGGAAAGTTCCGGTTGAGGTCCACACCCCGGCAGATGCCGAAGAGAGCTCGATTCTTGCGCCACATGCGATCCCCCTGGAAGGTGTAGCGGTAGCCATCGGGATTAACGCTGGGAAAGATCAGCCAGTTGTAAGAGCGTGCCATTTCCTGGTCCACTGGATCTTCAGAGTTCAGCAGCTGATCGATGAAATAGGTGGCCGTGGCAGGTGCAATCCACTCGCGAGCATGGATGCCACTCTCCACAAAGACACTCGTAAGATTTTCCCTGCCAAAACCGATCCTCACACCTTTAATGGGCAATCCCTGAGTGCTTGCGCCCAGGTCCAATAGGCTAACCACCTCAGGTCGCTTCTTGGCCAGACTCTCCAGCCAGTCGTAGATGCTTTCCAGCGGATGGTAGCGTTTCCAGTCGAACTGCTCGGGTGTCGTACCCTCGGGTGCCACCTCGCGGTAGTTGGCATCGATCAGAGCCTGGAAATTGTGGTTCAGGATGCGATGGGTCACGTTGTAGCTGTGCACCAGGTCATCGAAGTCAGCCACCTTGGCGGCCGTCACCATGATGGTTAGCTTCTGGCCCGGCACACGGGCATGGCCCATGAAGGAGCACGAATCGCTGGCCAGCTCCAGAGCTTGAAAAAGACGAACATGCTCTTTGCTAGCCAGTTCCACTTGGTAGATCCGCGTGTAATCGTAGCGTGCCTGGGCGGGCACTGAACCTGCCACTGGCTTAATCTCCTCACCAAGGGCACACTGATCCGCCTTGGTGCAGAAGCTAGCTGCTCCGGACTGGTGTATAAGGAGCAGGAGCAGCGGTAGAGGAATCCATTGGGGTAACATCTTTACACTCCGGCAGTCGAAATATATTTAATATTTTTCCACTTTCATTTTGTCTCTCACTGCGGAGAGTGAAGTATCAAACACAAAATGAAATGGTGATAAGGAAAATATAAATACTTACATATGTATGTGCATAGTAGGAATAGAAATTAAATATACGAATAATTGATACCAAGGAAAAAAAGGTAAAAAACACGATAAAGGGTACATTCATAAAATGGTTTTAATGTTTTATAATTTTATTAATTAGATTTATCTGAAGTTCAAGAAATATTCTTTTTTTACCAAGTTTTTGAAATGATTATAATATCATTATGAAAACATTTAAATTTAATATTACTTATATGAGAAAATGAATACATTTAATACATCTGGAAATTAAATATTGTCAAATGAGATTGAATCTGATAAAAGCATTTAAAATTTATAAGCTACAAGCAAACATATATTTATAGAAGAATAAATTTCCAATACAAAAATTAATAAACGTTCTTAGACTCACCGCTAGTCCGACAGACTCATCATTCTCATCCCCTTTAAAGGGTAACAAATGATGCAAGACATTGAACTTGATGCTGTGACATCGCCAGCAAATCTTCCATTTGAGATAAGCTTCAAGCTGCTCTTCTTCCATCCGAAAGCTTTTAAGTTCTCAGATCATCTTTTTTGCTTAACTGATACCCCCTGGTTCCTGCAACAACAAAACGTTCAATTGCAGCCAACGATTTATGAGCACCTTTCATAACACTTCATTAGTTACATTTTGGTAGAATTTATAGCGCAATTGCAATAGGAAAACGTTTAACGAGCTTGTTCTCGCAAGGGGGAAACTGTGGAGCGGACCAAATTTGGTCCGGCAATTGCCTCGATGGCAACAAGTGGCGCAATGGCGCAACATGAGAGTCCAGTGCCATGTTGCCACGCTGCCATCATGGTTGCGTCTTCGTTTCGTTGCAACTTGTTGCTGCCAGCGCAGGAACCAATTAAACTCAACGTGCACAAATATTTGGCGCTACTAATGGAGCTTAAATGGTAATGTGGTCCAAGGTTTTGCCACAAAGATCTTCACCATATTTCAAGATTATGAAATGCGGCAACTTTATTGTGACAATTATGCAATATATCTTATTCTATTGGATTTATGAACAATTTGAAGTACTTGTTTTGAACTTAGTTGATGATTTTGTGTTAGATTTTATAAGTATTTACAGATGTTATAGAAGTACTTAAGATATAGTTTTAAATAGTATATTCTTCATTGTATAATTTGTCAGGTGTTCTCAGAAGGTAAACTTTATTTTGTTTTCGAAGCAAACTTTGCTAATGATCTGATAATTCCCAAACAATGTATTTATAATGACATTGTAAATAATATAACCAGTATTAATTCTAAATGCATCTTGATTAATTATGATAGAAGTTTCCCTGTCAACCTGTGGAAGGCGTACAGGGGTGCTCCACTGTGTTATGCAATTGCCACTGTTATTGCCAATCCATGCAATCCATCCATCCATCCATCCATTCGTTCATATGCCGTATACGAAAATTCATTTCTCTTAATTGACTTAACGTGACTTGGACTTGAGAAAAACCAATTACAAAGCCACATTAATATCTGGCAACAATTTTCTGCCTTTTGAGCAACACAATATTTGTTCCCCGGCCGGGTGCATGCAACCGAAATTTTAATTAAGAAAAAAAGTTTGGTGCTGTTTGGGGGTGCTGGTTGCAGGTTGCTGGTTTCCTTTTAGAGTGGGCGGTCGTCGGCCTATTCAAAAAAATATATAATCTTATCAAACATTTTGGCAATTAATTCAAGAGAGTGACAGTGGTGGCGAGGGGTTTGGGGGTTTGCTTACAGCTGCCAACAGAAGCCAGAGAGTTGACCATAAATGCATTTTAATTTCTTAATTTACCACAAACTATAAATCATGGCCTTAGGTGTTTTGGCCATATAATGTAAGTCACCTTGCAGTGGCATTCGCATTCGCACCATTTTACCAGCATTTCGCATTCGCTATGGAAATGTTTTTCATCTCTTTCTCTGTCTCTGTACACTTAGAGAAAAGATATGGGAATAAGATTAAATATCTAAAACCTTTTGTATTCTATATTTTTATGGATAAATTTGTTAAAACTCACCCTGAATAATTATTTTTGTTTTGTGAACTTCTTATACACTTTTTAAGAACCTAACAAAAATGTTCTAAACTTTATTTATACTTTAATTAAGCATATGAAAATATATGGTTTGTTTTTTGTTCCTCTACACATTTTTTAAGTGCACCGCGTCTAATCCCAACTCTGGATTATGGTTTTATTATTATCACAGCTTATCATTTACTCAATTACAAATTGTTTTCGGTGCATCGCTGGGGTGTTGTAAAAATACCAAAAATACCTGGCTGCCGTGTTGGTCACGTCTTGGCCGCCTGTCTGGAGCAGCGGCTTCATTAGGTGATGCTTGTACATATTAATTAAAATGTGTATCCCGCCGATAGACTCGTATTAAGTCGACATGCGAGTGCGCCATAGATGGCAAAGCCACTAAATCATCTCTCTCCGGGGCAAGTATTTGCACTGCATTGCTTTCGCATATGGAAATCGTTGCATCACACCGAGTTTTCCACCACCGGCCGCTATGTTTGTGTTAATTGGCAACACTTTCTTGGCCAGGCCTAAAAGAATGAAGCCAATTCAAATTGGACAATTACAATTATTGAAAAATCTCAGACGCTTGACGCTCGGGGAAATCAACTTTGGCTATGGCTTTGGGGGCCTGCGCATACCAATAAATCAGGAAAATGTCAGAAATTTGCCATGACTTGTCGCCGGCCTGGGCTTTGGCCGCCAAATTAATGCAATTTTGTGTAAATTACTCATTAGAAGCGAAATAAATTCGCTGTTGGAAGGCATAAATCACGCCTTATAGAGCGGTACAAGCCACACGATCAACCAACCGACAGGCAACAAATAAAATTGAACAGAAAATCTCTGCTAAAACAAAAGTCTCGATTACCCCCGGGCCGGGTGGTAAATGAAATTTTCATTTTCCACAGAAAAGGTGGAGGGAATTGGGGGATCGGGGTCCGCCAATTAGATATTTTATTGCTAATGTGAGCTTGTCAGATCGCCAGAGTCGAGCCTGCCGCCTGGCCAACTCGAGTGTCCAGCTCTCGGCTGTCCAATGTGTTCGGTGCCTGTCTACATCAATTAAAAGAACATTTGACAATGATATTTATACTTGGGCTCGGTCTTCGGTCTTTGGTCTTTGGTTTCGAGTTTGGGTTTTTTTTTCGGCATTGCATTTGCTCGGCTCGAAAACGATTTCCAAGTTCGGTAATTATAGATCAACTGCCGCGCCAAGTGGAAGTGTGCTCCAGTGCGGGCAGAAATTTGTAATTTTCCTAAGACAGATTGGAACGTTCTCAGTTTGAAAATGATATCCAGCCATGTCTATATTCATTTATAGTATTCTGAAAATTTCAGTACAATCGAATGAAAAACATAGGAGTTGTTAAAGAACAAACTTTGCAACCTCTTATATTCATTTCTTTTGAACTTGCACTTACATTTAATGGTTAGGATTTAAAATTGGAATAAACTTAAATTTATTTTGTTTACATCCTTTTTAATTTAATTAATACGTTGAGTTAATCGTTTCTGAGGTAAATCCTTAAAGCTTTTAATTATAATGATAAGATCATTGGGTTCCTGATATCTTATATAATATCATATTTTTCTATATCTTTCTAACCTGTTATTATTAGGTTAGGTTAGGTTAGGTTATTATTATATTTTACATAGTTTTTTAGTAATATTTACCTGCTCTAGAGTGTGCTCCCTGGAAATATGTTACACTGACTGGAATGATTGGGCAAATGGATCGATCGGCTTGGCAACATTGTTGCATTGCGGCATTGCTAGTCAGCAAATTATCAGCGGGCCAAAACAAATGTTAAAATGTTTGAATTCGTAACAAACACACACACAATGGCCATATTTGTTTGGGGCCAAAACTAATGACGTGGCTCGCTAGCTACCTGGCAGACTGGTGTTTTAATTGTGAAATGCCGTGCAATAAATTGCAAGATGGCCAAAAACTAACAAATAACAAAATAAAAAGAAAAAGAAACTAAACGAAGCCCAGTATCCTGAGTGCAACTGCAATTCAATTACAGCTCAATTTCATGGCAGCAGCAGTAGAAGCCACAGTAGGAGCAGCAGCGTCTGAGAGCCATTGCCATTTAGAGAGCACGGCGACAATTTGTTTATGGAACCGCCGCGGACTTTAAATGGTCCGGTGCATAAATCACTCGCTCTCGGCTCCGATCAACCCCAATTGTCAATTGCCAATACATATCGCCTGTAATTGGGAAGGCGGAGCTGGGCCCAAAACATCACCCACCAGCTATATCGATGGTTGCTGCAACTGCAACTGCAACTGCAACTTGTTGCTCCTCTTTGTCAGCTAGTTCACAGCAATTTCGCATGGCAAAACAATTTGCATGACTCTCTGATCCACTTGCAATTAGACTGGCGTGCTGCCCTCAGGACAGTAGCAGCTAATATCTATACAGTGGCAGCTATAGCATCGGCAACATCAGCAACATCAGCAACAGCAGCAACATGCTGCCGAGTTGCTAACTGTTCCCACTTAATTTCTTAATTTCCCATTGCGTGCTGTACCTTGTACTAATGACATCATTTGCCGGCTTAGACTGGCAACAAGTTGCACATATCTGGGAAATGCCAGGGAATCAATAAAACAGCATTATTGATGCTCTACAAGGAACGATACTAGAAAGAAAGAATAGAGAAGAAAAGGAAAATTAAGCTCAGAATTATTACTAGAGGTAGGATAAAAAAATACTATATAAACCACTGGGATCTATAACGATAGATTACAGAAAGTATCCAGAAAAAACAGTTCTAAAGTATTTTATTTTAACATTTGAGAAGATGAAACATCAACCTTTATTATTGCTAATAAAACTTTTTTGAGTTTTCATCAATGCTCACATTATCCTTTTGGCAACCACTTGTGACAGCAAGTTGCTTGCAACACTAGCA